ACCACTTGAAACTATTTGAAACCTTGAATTTGTTCCGGGTGAGCAACACTGTTCTTGAAGAAACAAAAAAATAGTACTTACTAGTGATCTACTACTATTATCTACATGTCTACGGTATCATAAAAACCATTATATACAACGACTGGGAACTTTTCGGATTATTAAAACACGCGCGATTTTCGAACGGGAAGTTTAGTCCTAACGTGATTTGCATATATCAAACTTTTGCTGTGTTCTTACGCAACAAAAGTACCATTTCAGTTCTAAAAAATCTATCCTGAGCTATACGTTCGGTAGATTACTTTTTTTTGAGTTTCACTATATTTAATAGTTACCTGTGGTTTTGCCTCAGCTTACTATTCGGTTTTTTTTGTTTTTCACGTATAGACTAGTTTCAGTTTATATCACTCGTTTTGTCCGTTTTTGTCCTTTTTCAGTGTGCATTTTAGTGTTTTTTTTAAAAAGGTCTTAAGCTTTTGCCAGCATCTATAACATAGTTTGCTTCAACACCGTCATGAAAAACTCATGCAAACGTCCGGGATGCCGTTTTGCTGTCACAACTGGCATGCAGTGTGACAACTGCAAAGGTTGGTTTCACGAAGCATGCACAAATCTGACAGCAACTGCTTACAACAAACTCAGCAAGTCAGACCAAAAGTGGGTATGTGTCACGTGCAACACGGACGCAGTAGTCTTGCTGAGTAACATCATTGTCCTACTGACAGGTCTTCGAAACAAGCTGTCAGTTAATTTGGAATACGACAGTAAAAAAACCGATATACAAACAAGAGCGCGCAACGGACTCAAAAATAGGGATGTCGATAGGTATGTCATCGATGGAGCATCCATCAACACTAACGACGACGTGTCGAGGCTCAGTACCATCATTACGTCGACGGTACTAGACTCCCTAGGCAAACTCGGGTCTCCCAGCTCAGGGTCGCTGAACACAACAGTGGTTCCCAAAAACCCTGCAGGCGATTCGACCCACGTTAAGAGAGCCCAAAAGAACCAGGCATCACCGCCTAAGCCGAGCAACCCAAGTGTTGCTGCACGGAAAATAACTGGTGATTTAGTCGCACAGTCTACCCCCAAGACTGTTCGTCCGGTCAATAAAGAGCCCAAGATTCATAAACGCACACTGACCTCCAAAAAACAAGTTATTAAACCTGAACCCATCGTGAAACCTGGTAAATTAACAACAGTTCGTGACGATTCTCTCATTATCATGAACCTCGTCGACAATCCTGACCTTCCTCTCAGTCTGCAGGATAAAAACGACAGGATGCTGTGGGGTGAATTGAACAAGAAGCTCGAACTTCCTAGAATAGAGCCTTTGACGGTCACCCGGCTCACTCAATGAAAGGATTCTAAGCATCTAAATCACCCGAGGCTTCTCCGAGTAACACTTAAGAATGCTACCGACGTAGAGGACGTCTTGCTAGCAAGTCACTTGCTGAAATCCGATGGTAACGTAAGAATATTGACCGACATACCGTACTCTGACCGCAATATCATACGGAACATCCCTAAAGAATCTCGCGAGAAGTTTTTCCGCGGAAGAAACATAATTGTCCAAGGTATACCGGAAAATGCAGACCCTACTCAATCAAATTCTGACATCAAGGAATGGAAATTCATCAAACAGTTCTTGAGGCTCAAACACATACTGACTCAGCATGTGACGAGACTAGCCAAGAAGGACGGTGATCTTAGACTCCGTCTAATGAAGATAACCTTCCCATCTTCCCATATGGCGGCTGCAGTTCTGGAAGCATTTCGTGCCAACAGACGTCGATTGCCACCTGGAATCCACATGCACCCGGATAGGCCATATGAAGCCAGGACCAAGAACAAAGGCAAGCTGGAGCTGACCATTCCACTTGTGGACTGTATAAATGATAAAAAAACGTGTAAAGGACAGGGCCTACCACCTCGGCAAACCTCATATAGGTGGGCTACCTGTCCATTCACATAAGGCTCATACAGAAAAACAGGACGAAGCTCACGCGTTCCAAATTGAAAGCATAAACTGCTTATATATGAACGCCGCGAGTTTACCAAGCAAACTGGATGAATTACATGAACTTAGTAACGCTAATAAGGCCCGTCTGATAGGAATATCTGAAACCTGGATATCTTCTCAGTTCTCGGACCAAGAGTTAGCATTACCTGGGATGACTTTGTTCCGCAACGACAGAAAAACAGGAATTGGGGGCGGAGTAGCCATATACATAAATTCTTGCTTGGAGGTGCACCAAGTTCACAACCTCGAGTTTAACAATCTTGAGGAATCTATATGGTGCTCTGTAAGATTGTCTAGTACTTCGAGGTGTCTAGTCGGAGTCATTTACAGGAAGCCAACTGCCGACATCGAGTACGATAGTCGCATGCTGGAAGGACTATCCCGCTCTACCCATCTCGGTTTCACACACGTCCTGATTCTAGGGGACTTTAATCTCCTTAGAGTCAACTTTGCGGAACACACGTACACTGGAGGCGACAACTCAATTGAAGCTCGGTTCTTCAACCTCATTGATGGCTTGGTCTTATATGAAAATATGAGGTCGGCAACTCGTTGGAGAAACAGTCAGACACCATCGCGCTTAGACTCTGTATTCACAAACGAAGAATTCCTAGTTGACAACCTCTCAATCCTGGCTCCTCTGGGAAAGAGCGATCATGCCGTTATAGCCTTAAGTTTTGTCATCAAAACTAAGCTAAGGTATCCCAACAATAATTTGCGATGGAATTTTAAACGGCTGAATGTGCGAGCTCTACATGACCATCTACAACAGGTGGTTTGGGATGTTCACCCTCAAATCGATGTGGATGGTCATTGGGACTTCTTGCTGCACACGCTCTTATGTGCTACAGACCATTCAGTTCCTCAAACGGTTCCCAAAAGCTTCAAGCCACCTACAGTAATCAAGAACCGTACCCTTCGCCTCCTAAGCCGCAAACGGCACTGTTGGGCGGAATACAAACGAACTAATAACGATGGAGCGTATAGGCAATATAAACATATCAGGAACATATGCACGAAGGCTATAAGAGAAGACAGGCTTCAGTACCAAACAAAGCTTATGGACAAATTCGCCTCTAACCCTAGAAGCCTATTCCGTTATGCAGCCTCTCTTCGTCAAGCCAAAACAGGAGTTTCTCAACTGCTAGGTCCTAACGGCCCGACCAACAACGATGGCGACGCCGCTAACCTTCTGGCGGCCCATTACTCTCAAACATTTCAACCGGCTGATATCAACTTTACTCATGACAGTTTCATCTGCAATTCCACAGGACTTTCTGAAGTGGACCTAAGCGCTGACTTGGTGTTCCGGAAACTGCAGCACTTAAGACTTGACACTTCTCCTGGCCCGGATATGGTTCATCCTGCCATACTGAGGGAGGCAGCCTCAATCCTGGCAACGCCGCTTAGCGTGATGTTTTCACACTCGCTTAGCCGAGGCAAACTACCGGAAAATTGGAAGTTGGCTCACATCACACCAATTTTCAAAGGTGGTCGACGCAATGAACCTTCAAGTTACCGGCCGGTAGCTCTTCTGTCGTTACCTTCAAAACTCATGGAGTCCCTGATATGCGACGGTTTAAATGACTACCTACTGTCCTTAAATTTCTTCTCACCCCAACAGCATGGTTTCAGGAAGGGTTACTCTTGTATAACCAACCTGCTGACTGCGGTGGACAGATGGACAAGCATCCTCGATCGCAAGGGAAAGGTTGATGTCATTTACCTTGATTTCTCAAAAGCTTTTGATAAGGTTAACCACTTGTGTCTTATCAACAAGCTCAAACGACTAGGTATCAAACCACCTCTAATCGACTGGCTTACTTCATACCTAAAAAATCGACACTTTAAGGTTAGGGTTAATTTCACTTTATCTCAAGCTATGGAATGTCCTAGTGGGGTCCCCCAGGGCTCAGTACTAGGGCCTCTTCTCTTCTTGATCTACATAAATGATCTTCCTCAACAGGTAACGTCAGACTTATTACTTTTTGCCGACGACGTGAAACTTTGGAGAGAGATACGCAACCAAGACGATATACAGGCACTTCAAGAGGATCTGACTCGACTTCAAAGTTGGGCAGACGATAACGGACTTACCTTTAACACTTCTAAGTGTAAAGTAGTCCATCTGCGACATGTCGCAAACTACAGTTACAACTTAGGAAACTCCTCTCTAGTAGTATCCCAAGTCGAAAAAGATTTAGGAGTCCTGGTGCCCCATGACTTAAAGTCTTACGCTAATTGTGACAAAAATGCCTTCCGAGCAAACCTTGCACTGGTAACGTTGAGGCGCATTTTTGGCCAGTTTGACGGAAGAACTTTCCACACAATCTTCAATAGTTTCATCCGTCCCCATTTAGAGTACGGAAACATAGTACTCCCCCCCTCACTCCAAAAGGATAAGGTCACTTTGGAGCGTATCCAACGGCGAGCCACGAAATCAGTTCGAGGACTCAAATCTAAGCCTTACGAAGAACGCCTCCGTTCACTAGACCTTTACCCACTAGAATATAGGCGTCTTAGAGGTGATTTATTAATGGCTTATAGTATTCTTAACACTTCTGGACATCCTCTTAAACACCTACTTAAGCTTAGTTCGAACAATAACCTAAGGGGTAACACCCAGAAACTGGAAACACAACATAGCAAGACGGAATGTAGACACAACTTCTACTCCTTAAGAGTTGTCAAAAGCTGGAACTCGCTGCCGGCCGAGCTAGTCCAAGCGACTTCTCAGGAGTCCTTCAAGAGGCAACTTGACCTATTCTTAAGGACCAAGGACAGCATCGCACTATGATTTACCAATTTCTTTTCCTCTTTTATTGTTAACATACCTAGGTTCCTGCCTGGAGGATTTGGTGATCCCCTGCTACTAGACACGGAAGCCTGTTAAGCGAAAGCTTCTTCTATTCCGTCCACAACCATTTGAACCATTTGAACCATTTATTTGAACTGATTTGTCCTTTTCAAGGTCATACATGTTAGCGCCAAATGCACCTCTGTGCGCCACCCTCATGAGATGAAGAGTATGTTGTTCGTTTTATCGAAAATTAGTCCAGTCCTCTATTTGTGGTAGAATTTATTCTCTTTAGGTTGCATTTTTCTGCGAGGTTTTCTTCAGCGTTCTCCATGGGTTAAATTGTACGGGTTCAGACTCGTGTAGTAAGGACAGAAGGCCTACGGCACATGTTATTTCTTTCCTAGTGGCTTCTGTGTCTAGTCTTCTGTTAAATAAGTCGATTAAGGGTGCATATACCACTGCCCCGCGTAGCAGGTTCCCAGAATTTACGGCACGGTGTGAAAATGTGTGTGCCATGGGTTATATGTTCGTTCTTAGCTCTTCTACTCACCTTCAATATCCTCTGAGTTGTCCGATCTGGTGGGATCAAATGAAAACTCGAAATTACTTCTTACTATTGTATACATCAAGACCAGGTTGCCTCTTAATCTGCCGTAGGACAGAAGAAAGAGGTCTAACTTTTCTACGCTGATACTTTGGCTTGATTTTTCATGTAATCAGTTATTGTGTTCGTCATAACTTTCCAAAGTAACTTCTGAACAGCCTAAATGTTTTAAGAATTTAGTCCATACGAACCAACGTTTGTATCCTCTGTCGACTTATTCGAATTTTAAGGTTTTAATTTAGAGATGTTCTACTAATCTGCGGGGCCGGATAAACGTTATTTCGATGCAATATCGGATAAATTCACACTAAGGTTTCTTAATAAATATCATTCCTTCGAGCTTGCCTATACATTACACTGCTTTTTGTTTAGGTTATGAATATATATATATATATTTCAGGAATATCACTTAAAACTGGTATTCTCCTTTTATTGCGGTTTTTCATAATATTTTGATAGTCCTGGTCGTCTCGTATTGAGATTGCGGCAAGACTATAGTTTATGGACGAATCGATCAGATATAACATAACAGGTTTTGAATTTTGGCGTGGAACTCATTCAACCATTTGACGAAATAGCGTTTTAGCATTATATCTGATGTCAGTTCATGATGAACAACCTAAATCTAACTCCTAACCCTAACTATCAACTGTAAATCATAATTCTAATTCCTCCCACTAGTTCATAACCCTCGTTTTGTCCTAGTTATTAGGTGGACATGCTCAGGGTCACCTTGGTGTCGCTCAAAAGTCGTCCGTAAATTGTAGTCCCACTGAGATCGCACTTGTGTAGCGAGTTGAATTACCAGGTAAATCATCGTGCACACTAAAATATGAACGTCATGATGTTTTCAACCTTAAATATTATTGTTTAACATCAGCATCAGACTTCACAGATGCTAGCACTACGTGTTTTCCTAGACCAGTGGTTGTACATTCGGTGTGGTTGTCAACCTGTTTGATGACTCCTCAGTTTACTTTAAAAGCAATTTTCGAAGCAATTTTCGAATTAAACTCGCTTTCAATAAAAAAAAACAATTTTGTTATTGTTGACTAGTACTTATATTAAAAGAGTGGATTTTCTTTAAATTGGGCGATTTTCGTCATTTCTTCAGGAACAGATAAATAAAAACACGAATATCTCTTCCCTTAGACGAGCCGCGTGGTATCTGTATCCCTCGGACAATAACTCGAACCTTTTTACACAAGTTCATACTTGAAGATTTGCAATTCTTTGAGCTTTTGATCGTTATGGTTTGTCAGTGGAAAAATTTGGATTTGTTTAGACTGAAAAATAATTTGTATAGTTAACACAGCAACTAAAAATTCATACAAGTCTCCCATACGTCTGGTGACTGGTACAATCACTTTGGTTGATAGGTATTCGAAAAATTTCAGTTTCATTGTTAGTAGATAAGTCCTCTTATCTCCTTATTACCCGGGCTAACATCAATTTGTCCCAAAATCTGTGTTTATCATGACTGGCCGATTTCTATTTCATTATGTAAATAACACTGCCTTTTTAACTTACAGATCTTTGCATTGCGATGTTTTAGAAGTGATCAGTTTCTCTCGTCTATGTTTTAATCTAATCAGTTGATAATAGTTGTAATTCATTGATCGAAGAATCGGATTTCACGCCAAAGTCTACCTATTTCAATTTCGCCGTATTCTGTGTTCCCATAAACCACCTTATTACCAACATATACAGGGATTATTGATCCATTGACTTATACATGGTTGCACTTTTCCTTTTTTTTCTAGTCATCAAATCATCAGAAGTAAAATTATCGTTCAATTTCGTCCAATCTTGTACAATTCCATTTGGCTTTTACCCGCTTTGACGAAAAGAGTGCACAGTTACTAACTTTCGTATTTTCATATTAACTGTGTTACGTTAAAGTTTACCGTTCATGCCTAGTGGTCGAGTGAGAGTTAGTAGTTATGTAGTGAAACTCACTTTAAACCTTGTTTTATATTTGGAGATATCAAGCCCTTATTATTTTTTCCCTAGTCTTTAATTATCATCTGACCGTTAGTAAAGTTCATACTTTACTTTAGCAGCTTCAAAGAAACCTGTAAACCAAAGTGAACTGTTGCAGACTAGACAATCCTTACCTGTGTGGAAACATAAAGATGTATTGATTGATACTATTATGAAAAGTGAACATTGTGTTATTGTTGGGTCAACAGGGTCTGGTAAAACTACCCAGATTCCTCAGTTTTTATATGAAAAGAATTTAACTAATGGGGGGATTATTGCAATAACTCAGGTAATCGTGCAGTACTGTTTAATTGTGATTAATTATTTAATAATGATTTTTACCATAATTGCTTTGTGTAAGCAGCTTGACAGGTACTGAGTACTCATGTGAATTTTCTTCCAGAGACGTTTAGTGAAATTACCCCTATAACACTGGGTAGCTCTTGAATATGTTTTCATTCAACTCTAAATTGTGTTCACCTCCCATTGGGATTGTTTTCTTGACAAACTAATAGTTCAATACGCAGTCGTTCAGATTCCCACAATTGCATTAGAATTTTCTAATTGATGCTCGAATGATCTAAGATATGCTTGTCTGTTACAGCTAGTGTTTGCTTATTGATTCGTCTAATTAGTAAAACTGACTACCGTTGTTTAAAGAAAATTTATCTGCTTCAAAGTGAGTGGGACAAAAAATATTTAATCTTTATTTTTACGTTCTAACCAGAAACGTCAGTCAGTCAGTAACAACGTAGAACTTCGTACGTACGTACATACCACATTAGCACAGAGGTACAGTTGTCAATTCAAATCCCGTAGTGGTAGAGGTAGTAAGAGTATAAGCAGTAATCGGGAAGATTAGTGTTTGGAGATGTTATTTAAAGAGTATAATACAGTGAAATAAATTTGGAAAGAGGAAAAAAGGGACATGAAGAATTCATAAGATTAGAATTTGGGAGAACACAGAGAGTGGATGCACCTGCGCCATTGCAAACGAGTTTGAGCCATGTCATTCAGGGTCTCTAACCATCGGTTGCTATCATCTCGCGGTCCCCAACCAGATAGTCTACACCTACCGACATGACTCAGACCACGAGTCAGTGACTTCATGGATTTGTGCCATGTTTTGGTCTGGCCGCCCCCTAGCTTTCTTCCAACCTATTCCTATACCACTGAACATCGCACGTCGAGGCAGTCAGTGGTTGGGCATATGTAACACGTGTCCCAGCCATCTCAACTGATGAAGTTTCACTACTTCATCAATTGATTTGCCATCCTTACCTAGTACCCGTTTCCTAACAACTGCGTTACTTACTCGATTATCCCAGGGTATACGAGCAATGTTTTGAAGACACCTATGATCAAATACTAGTAACCTACGAATATCCTCTACTCTTACCGGCCATATTTCACTGCCATAAAGTAGGACGGAACGAACTGCTGCGCAGTAAACGCGTCCTTTGGTTGATAACCAGAAACATGCATATTACATACCAATAATTTGCTATCACATAGCCAACTTTTAGAGCCAACAGGATAACATACGTAGATTACATAAAAGACGGTATAATACATGTGGATCTAGTGACTAAATGATTTCATTCTTTGTAATAACCAGAAACGTGCATATTATTATTATGTTATCCTGTTGGCTCTAAAAGTTATCTATGTGATAGCAAATTATTGATATGTAACTTCTCGTTTTTTGAAGCGTTTTCATTAATTGCGGCAAACTTCGGAGCATTCGCTGCTATAACACCAATGTTAAAGAATCCTGCTTCAAAGTAATAGGCACAGTAGTGTCTGAAATAAATCCCTAATATCAGTATGTACGTATATACGTCTGAAGAAAATGTAACTCACTCATTTGTATACTTAGTTCATTTAATATCTTACATCCTAACGTTTAGTAGTAAAATTACGTCCATAAAGTTCTGTATCTGGAATGTGCCTATAATGTGCCCTGTTAAAATGGAGACAATGGGAAACTTGCTAGTTGTTTGTGTAAAGCTTATCATGGTTTGTCTTGGTTTATATGTGTTTTCGACTTACAAGGCTAGTTTAAGTACTTATGGTGGATCCCAGCAAAAGAGCTTATTCAAGATATATCAATACTCAAGGTTATTAATAATATACCAAAAGAATTAACAGTAAAACCCTAGGTGTCTGGCTGTGAGTAAAACCAAAAGTTAACAAATTACAGTTAGAATATAAATGGTATATTAAACAACAAGGTAATAACAGTTATTATGAAATGAATGTTACTTGTAAGCTGCTCTCTGAGATAACCACAAATGAGTTCACTAGATTAACGAAGATTCCTCTGCACGTTATGGCACCGACGGCGTAATGAGAAAAACTGGATCCAATAGTATTATTTAATAATAATCCAGGCCAATACTCCAACGTATTGTAGGAAGGCCTAAAAGGACGTTATAACACTATTATAGTTTTCAATAAAAGGTCGTGGCCAATAAAGCGGAAGAACAGACGGCGGAGATAGCGTTTTATATTTCAACCAACGCGGTAGAATATTCGTATATGTGTATCCAAACAATTATAATCGTTTTTAAACAAGTGATACAGAAAAACAATAGATATTGAATAAAAATGTGGTTACATATAAATTGTGACAAACTAGAGAAAAAATGCGGTTTTTATTTTGTCGTTACAAAAATCACTGAATATACGTCACCATATACTCTGCCATTACTTATATTTATAATTGTTTAGTCCCATAGTCCATTCTTTTTCTGCTACTTCAGCCTAGGCGTGTCGCTGCTATAAGTGTTGCACTACGTGTTGCAGATGAAATGGACCGTGGTCCTGTTGGCATCGGACCAGTTGGTTATAGTGTAAGATTTGAAGATATGTCAAGTGAAAAGTCCACACATTTAAAATATATGACTGATGGTATGCTATTACGTGAAGCTATCCTAGATCCTAATCTCTCACGTTATCGTTTTATTATCTTGGATGAAGCTCATGAACGCAGTTTGAATACTGATATATTATTCGGAGTAGTTTTATCCGCGGCGAAAAGACGTTCAAAACTTCACTCTCTTCAACAAAATCTTAATAATACCCTTCTGCCTAGTAAATTAAATGGTATAAGGAAAGACATTCAAAATAAAAAAAAGTTCCTTCCTTTGTTAAAGGTAAGTCTATTTATTTAATAATTCCGTTTATGCGAAAACCACACTACTCTGTAACCTTATATTTATTTGATAGATCATCATTTTTCTATAGACATTCACGGCAATTGATTAATTAATGCATAGTTTTCAACTGAAAATCAATATCATTTGAAAATATGATGCAAATTAGTATCTACCGAAAGTCTTCTTCATTTTCTAAGCGTTTTAATATTGGATGAAACGGTATGAGTCTCTGCTACTGAATGGAAAATACTATGACGATTCTTCGGTGTACTTTATGACTATAACTTGAACGGTCCTAATTAGTTTTTCTCTTGGGAAATATATATATGTAAGGTTAGAAATTACTGTTTGAACGTAAATATTCCAATGCAGATACATCCATCCAGTTAACGAGTTTCGAATAGGAAAAAATAAGTAACTTAAATCATACTGATGACCACAATTCAAACATATAATAGTAGGTTAATGGTTTTTGAACAAAAAGACCTATGTCTCGTAACTTATAACTTTATTCACTAGATTACATTTGATTTTTTTAACCCAATAGGTATATGAAATATTAAAATCATTCAGATCTGAATGATCTACAATGATAGTTATGTCATTATTCTAGAAATGCTCACTGAAATTCAAACTAATGTCGGTAAAGCTATAAACGTATTAGACGGAAACACATAAACTAATTTGTTTTAAGAAAGACTAGAGTAATCCAGTTAAGCCTGTTACATAGTTCATTTTGACTTGTGGATTATTAGTGTATTTCTTATCTAAATACTAGATTTTCCACCTTGTTACTTAAATCTAAATATCGATAGAGCCGGGTTTAACTATATTACATCTTAATGTATGATTCTAAAATCAGTCTCCGAAAGCACTTCGCAAAACATCATTAATGCTTCCCTGAATCTTGATATGCACCAGGTATTCAGGTTGAACCTTGATGTGATTTTTTTAAAATTGTAGTATTCAAACAGTTATGGTTGTATATATAGTTTAGGCTTATCTTATCGGTCATGAATTCTGCATAGGTTACCTCATAAAACTTGCTTGCAATTAAAGAGTTGTTAAATTTGGGTTAAAAATATGCTTCTTGACATGTTCTAAGAGGCATGATATTTAATACCAGACTTTTTGTTGACTTTCATTTCATACATGTCATCTCATTTCGATAATTGTTCTTGACATTTATAAATGGTTTCCCCAATAGTTAATTAAATTAGGCCACTAATATGCTGTCCGCCATGAACTTCTTCATAAAGAACAAGCAGTAAATGTTACTTACTGGAAGGCTTTCAAGCGCTTTGCCCTCGTGTACCAACAGATTTATGTGGTACTGATGGATAACTACTGCACCAAAACTATGTGTTTGCACACTCAGTTGTGGCTGTCTGTGATCTGATTTCCACATTAGATCACACTTTATGTTATAACGTGAAAAAATAATAAATGCTGCTTAAGGGATAGCGAATTATTTATCGGACCAAAGACGCGCAAACACGTAGAACGACCTAGGGTTCTGATTGGTCTCGCTTCCCTGTCTAACCCAGCCAGTTGAGTCCAGAACACAAGTCACAGCCTCGGAATTATGAATCATTATATTTCAAACATGCTTTGTTTATATACCATTCAAGCAGTCCACAACGTACCATAAAATAGAAAATAACATTGTACAATAATGGCCAACAGGAAAATAACACGTTAAATAAATATTGGCCAATAAGATGATACTATTCCATGTCCAAGGATAGCATTAGGCTTAACAGGATAATTTTTGGGATATTTTCCTGAATATCCCAACACCTCCCTTTTTTTGGAGATCCGAGTTGATGTCCGAATTTTAAATTTTTCTCGCGTCTATCCTCCCCCTCGAAATAATGTTGGGTCCTCATATACCCAAGGAACAGTTAGTGTGACTCTATTTGAAGCATATTTCCCGCGTTGAGTAGAGAGTCCACTAGGACTGACTAGATGGTGAGGATCAGCGACAGTAGATCTGAGGTCATTAGGGTTTAAATCTTTAGTAAGTAGTGGATCATTATGATAATCGGCGTCCAACAAAACTGTACCAGGTTCTCGGTTATTATTTGATGCGTGAAACACATTTTCTGGCAAAACAATGAGATCTTCTCGTGAGCTGGATATGTTACTGTCTGCACATGCTGTTTCGGGGTTGATGGAGTTTGACTCCATTACCGGGCATGTTTCTGGAATAGAAAGTACTGGACCACTGGGCGCATGATGGATGACTGTTTCGTTTGAAGTACAGTTCATCGAGGATTCATGAAGGCTGCTGTCATTTTCCAGCTCACTGTGTATTTCAGATATCAATACATCCACTTCCGTCGCGTCTTCATAGCATGAGTGATTTAGCAGCTGCGTGCGGAATTTGACTAATAAGTCCAAATGTCGTTCAAAGAGCAGCTGTAATCGATCGGAGGGGAGAGTCATTTTTTCGAATCAGCACCTGTGATGAAAATTACTGTATGACTAATGACCAATGTGGTTCAAGGACACTGATGACAATCTGGATACTGATTGGTTGAATAATTAGACTGGATTTTGTCCAATTACAGAATGACTTTGGATTGTACCTTTTCTTCACCCCGTCGCCAATTGTTATAACGTGAAAAAATAATAAATGCTGCTTAAGGGATAGCGAATTATTTATCGGACCAAAGACGCGCAAACACGTAGAACGACCTAGGGTTCTGATTGGTCTCGCTTCCCTGTCTAACCCAGCCAGTTGAGTCCAGAACACAGGTCACAGCCTCGGAATTATGAATCATTATATTTCAAACATGCTTTGTTTATATACCATTCAAGCAGTCCACAACGTACCATAAAATAGAAAATAACATTGTACAATAATGGCCAACAGGAAAATAACACGTTAAATAAATATTGGCCAATAAGATGATACTATTCCATGTCCAAGGATAGCATTAGGCTTAACAGGATAATTTTTGGGATATTTTCCTGAATATCCCAACACTTTACCCACCGGACATCCATCTCCGACCTATTTTCTTTGTCAAAATGCTAAATGATCATAGAGACGATTAGGTGCAAAACAGTGTAGCGACCAAAATCTTAACTTCTGATTGCTTCTAGAAATGTTTCGAACGATGAGAATGGGGATGAAACAAGTATAATTCAACAGATTAGGTTTGTTCTGAAGGAAGCAACATTGATTTACTCTAAATTTTTTAAAGTTTTCATGAGCTCAGTTTATCTATTGGATTGACTAGCATTTGTTAAGTCATTTTATCCCGAGTAGTTTCCTCTATATTTCCTAATTATGGAGTGATTCATAGCCCTAGATAAAATAGCTGTCAATGCGCTGAGTATCACTGACGAAGTATGTTTCATGTTCACTTGTTTTTTAGATCATTGTTATGTCAGCTACAATCGATCCAACGCCTTTTTTAAATTTCCTTGGCCCAGATCATACTCAAGTTGTATACATAGAAGGTCGACGGCATCCTATAAAGATCTTGAATGTTTCTCAGTCTTTAACAGATTATGTGGCGGATGCAGCTTCTGTTTGTATTCGGGTAAGTATATTTCCGACTTTGGCAATACCGTTTTATTTTTAGTCCGTTGTTGCAACCCAGTGACTAAGCACATATTCATGTGCTAGTCTTTAAGCGGAACTCTCAGTCACTGTTGCGTTTTGGGGTCCGATTTAGTTACGGTGTGCACTTTGTACGGTATCCCAAACCCAATCTGCATATGAAAAGACTAGGACGAGTGTGAAGGTTTGATTGCCTAACTGAATCGGAATATACACAAATTACAGGTATATGTAGGATTATCCTTCTGATCTAGAAAAGGACATGCAGCCCGAGATTCTGACCAGGTGTTTAATCAGCCTCCTCAAATATCGTCCCTCGTTCATAATCTGTTGCCTTGAAACAGCATGTGAGCACAGGCAAGATGTGTCTATATTGACTTAACATGTCAGACACCCAAGGCGAAGAACATAAGGCAGGATTCAACCTTTGCAACTTGATAATTGAAAGTTGACTATTTCACTATGGATTCTCTTCCACTTACTATACTTCGGCCAACACCTCAGTGAGAATATTGTGTAAACATGGCTAACATGCCAGTTATTGACACAGATAGAATTTCAAAAGCTCAATACAATGTTATTTTTCATTGGCTAATTTTTGTCTTAGAAGTGTCTTCATGTTATTTGCATACAGACGCCAAGGTTAAGGTAGGTACATTTTATCCAGTCAAGGTCTCTCAGTCTTAACAAGCACGATTAGTAAATTTCACATCTGAACGTTCTCGAATAATATTGTGATGTGTCCTACTTATACCGACATAAGTAGTATATTACACTAGGAATATAATGCCTGGCAGCAGAAGGTCCAGAAGATCGAGCAGGCAAGAACGGGAACACAAAGCAGTTAGTATGGAAATGCAGAAACAATGAGGTCTGAGACGATTGACTAATATTTACGAAAGGGACAGTCAAGTTTGAAACAATTGATTGACATTTTGCAAATGTAGTATTTACTGTATGGTTCTCAGATTTTACTAAAATATTCTGTAATTTTGCGTTCAAATACGTTAGATTGTCCCCACCTATGTTCTGGTTCACTACAATATCACTTAAGTTGTTTTGTCTGTGGTTTGGTGGTTAAATCACTCGGTATGTTCCAACCTCTTCTCCAGCTATTTTGGTTTTCCCAGTAGGTTTATTATCATTAGTCCACATGGTTAGTGTGCTCAAAGCCAAGTGCGAATATTCGTAATCTACTTCATTATTATAATTGACTCATAAATTATCTTGGTCGATCAAATATTTTCATATATGCTTACAAATATTTCTGTATATTGAAGTAAAGCCTGATGAAGATGTAATTGTCAACAATATTATTCATTCATATATGTTGTCTTCATTTATACTTAGAATTTTTTGTCTAAACTCTAATTTTTTTTTGTACTGTTACTGTTTTTTCCTTAATAGATTCACAATTCAAAGAATTCTCCTTTAGACCGTGGTATTTTAATTTTTCTAACTGGTGAAGAAGAGATTATGCGATGTTGTTCCTTAATCAAACAATTATCTCATTCAACAAATATTGATCAAATAGATTCAACTAAAAATAGACTTGTAGTATTTCCACTTTTCTCATCATTACCTCAGATCCAACAGTTGAAAGCATTAAATTTTTGTGATAATGTAAGTAGTCTATACTAGAAGATTTTTGTTTTTCATTGTACTACGATGAAAATAAAGTTGGTGTTTTTAGAGATATAATTGGACTGGAAAAAAATAGTTTAATATATTTTATTAATTTAAATTGTAATGATTATTCATTAAATTCTAGTTATTAGTTTCCTCAATAAAAAGAAAACATGTTAGATTATCAGTATTGTGGATTTGTGGAGATTGTAGTATTTTCAAAGTTGAATTCACGAGTCGATCTAAGCTAAACCATTATTGAAAACCTGGAAGCATTGGATGGCCATTTCGTCCTAGCATGGAACTCCTCGTCAGTGTGCACCCACGACCTAGCACGTGCGACTCAAACCTTGGACCTTCGTTCTCGCGCGCGAACACTTAACCTCCAGACCACTGAACCTGCATTCAAAGGTGTTAATGTCTAATTTCAATCGGTCCTTGATCTTGCTCAACCCTTCACTTTTGTATATCGGCTCAGTGGTTTATAGGTTAAGCGTCCACGCGCGAGACCGAAGGCCCTGGGTTCGAGTTCCGCGTGCAGGATGCGCACTGCCAAGGAGTCCCATGCTAGGAAGAAACGGCCGTCCAGTGCTTCCAGGTTTTCAATCGTGATCTAGCTTAGATCGACTCGTGAATTCAACTTTGAAAATTTTGTTGAATTGTTTCTAGTCAAGATTCACTTCTGAGTAGTTGATTGATTTTTATTTTAACACATAGATATTGGTACAAGGAGGCACCGAATGCATATGCGCCACACAAATCTCATTCGATATGTATGAGGGCTGTGATACTACCCCGGGTGCCCAAACCGAAGCATGGTTTTAACTGTGACAATGAATTATGCGAGTTTGAATCCAATTAGAAGTATCAATAGTTCCCTCTCGATTACGGTTACTATTGAAACTTAATGAATGCTAACCATCATAAAATGCATATCCAGGGTTTATTACCAACTTCTTTCAACTAACTAACTTCATAATTTGGAATATTGGTCAGCTATTCACAATATGATTTTAGTTTTCACAGTTAATCATTAATAGCATTCTTATAAATTCACACTGGGAAAAACATACGTTTTGTTTAAATAGATGTACTTACATGAAATGAATACTCAAAACATCAATCACAAACACAGAAATAATCAGCATCCCGTGTTTATTATTGTAGCATAAAAAGAGACAACCATATAGAGGATCATATTAACTTATTGGATTGTCAAATATATGTTTGTGCGGTTGATTGGTGAAATGAATCAATTATAAATCGTTAACGATTGTTATAATCTCCAGATCTCATCGTCTATAGTCACACTTGAGATCGTGATTTGATGTGTTTGTTCTTGGATGTATTATATGTTGTTCAGTTACTACGTAATTCCACTGAGCAGATTGATTGATTACATATTATTTTTTATTACTACTACCAACAATGAAAGTGTTTTTACGCAGTGGTTAACCATGTATTTCTAAACTAATTTGGTTTAGAAGTTTCTGTTCGTAGTCTAAAGATTCCAGACTGATGACTCGAACTTGTATTCACAGATTCTGAGATTTTTCTTAAAGATCAAGCCGTTGAAAAACCTCCTCGGATTAGTTTATGATTTCATAACTATTGTTATTATAATCAGTACTACACATAAACACCTTGCATTTCAATATGTTTCACTTTTCTCTTTGCCATTTAATCTAGAATGCGCGTAAAGTGATTGTCAGTACAAATTTAGCAGAAACATCCATCACTATCCCAGGTGTACGTTATGTGATAGATTGTGGGCGCGCAAAAATAAAGTAGGCTTCTTCTAATCGATATATAATAGTTTCTGTCACTTCTTTTTGTTAAAAAGACCGTTTTTTAATCTTCTTCAACTACTAGTCACATTGTTCCTTTTATTGCTATACAGTTTTTATCTAATCAATGAAATTCATTCATTTTACGAACTGATGTAAACAATTAAGTCGATATGATAATTGATATATATATATATATATATATATATATATATATATATTTGTGTTCCAAACAGAAGGTAAAAAGACGGGAAGCATAAGGAAACGTTTTACTTCCAAGGTTAGCTTAAGTATAGAAAACAAGAATTTTTATATTTTTCTTTTTGGCCTTCTGGAAGATTGATAAGAAAATCGATAATTATTCAATCAGAGGATGACACGTATCCCATCAACTTTCTAAAACACTGAAAAGTTCTTATTTACAATTGGTCAATCGAAGTATTTTTTTTCAGCCTTTTCTCGGCTTCTGAAGACTTTTCCAAAGAATTATACAGGTCTCCAAACATTAATTTAAATAGGATTGGATTAAGTAACACGAAGTGATAATGAATGTTCACTCTCCATTATCTTGTTTCCTACTGAGTCACATGAATGTCCCTACCCAACCTTACACTATAAGGAAGTATTATTTATCAGAAATGTAGTGCTCAGCGTTTAATATACCACAAACCCATGACCGTATAAGAGCATTTCTAGGGGAAGGTTAAATTCTTTAGAGTCTTGGTCGTACCAGGGTACATAGGGTCAACGAGAAATGAAAACAATCGGGTAATTGAAACTGTATGTTAATAGAGCAAGGCTTTCAATGCATTGCATATATACATCGTAAACTAATATACAATAAATACAAGAAAGCTAATCTAACAAATGGATAATTTGTTCATTCAAATTATTACTTCATATGTCATTGATTTTGAATCAGTCCTAGCATGATCTCAATATAGGACATCTATGTATTATTACCATATAAACTAACATTGGTATTGTAGTGAAGAGAACACGGGTGGGGACAATCGAATGTATTTAACACAAAATTACAGGACTTGTTAATAAAATCTAACAATCATAAAGTAAATGCTTAATTTGCAAAATGTCCATCAATTGTCTCAAAATGACTCAGACTTCATTGTTCTTGCATTTTCATACAAAATGCATTCTGTTTCCATTCTTTACTGTCCGATCCTCTTGTCTCTCTCTGCTGCCAGACATTCTGTTTACGACTAACATCATCTACTACTTATGTCAATATAAATAGAACACACCACAGTATCTTTTTATTATTACTGTATTCAAGTGTTTTAAAAGTACAATTTTCACATTTTAACATGGTTTCTAATCAGAATGTTATTACTCTATTCTTTGTGGTCATAGTTTTTAATTCTTAAGAAAATTTCAACAAATCATTATGATCTATTTTCTCACAGTCCTCATAATTTATATTCACTAATAGAAAACGTGATACTAGATCACATTCTTTAGTACATAAACATTGTCTATTCTACATACTACTTTATATCAATATATTGAAGTGAAAATATGAAACAAATTTTAATACCAAAACCTAATTAAGTAGGTTCAATATGTATATTAACCTTACATGTTGTTCACTAGTTAATTGATAGTATGATATAACTAACTTGTTAGTAACTGAGTCTAACTCTACCAGGAACTGATTGGTTACTTATGTAAAAGTTGGACAATATTTTCTTGAACTGTGCAGAATACAACTCACTTTCATTATAGCCATTGAAATTAAAAGTTGTGGATTGATTAATTGAGGTGCCATTTATCCATGTTAGTTTGTGAATATTAATCACAACTATTAATTAAACTAAAAAAAATAATCAATTATTGTTTCCTTAAAAAGTAGGTTGTTGTTCAAAACCATTGATCTATCACTTTACACTGGATAAAATCATTTAATTATCAGTCTTTACTGTATAGTGTGGCTCAGTCGTTGTGTTCCAACTCTGAACCACCATGTCTCAGTATCATTATTAGAAAGGATTTGAATTATTCCATTGTCAGCTAATATTACAAACAATTATATGGTTATTTTACCCGTTTCACAAATGATTGGCTGTCTAGACTCAGTAGATAACGCGTTGGCCATTTGAAGCAGAGGACACTTCGTTCGAGACCCACTGTAAATATCAACACGAGATGTAGACACATACAACTGACGAGTTCTAAATAGTGCGAAAAGTGAGTCCAGAATTCCACTGTCAACTCTAATCTGTCTATTCTATAAACTAATTCCCAGTTTCGAATTGCTCTTCACCTACTGCTCGGATGACTGGAGGGAGTATCACTAGCTTTCACATTTAGAATACGACTCATAGCCAAGTACACAGACTTATACCTGATGAAAGAATAAGGGAAAAATATATATTATCATTGATGATCGTCATTTCATTCAATAGTTATTAAAACGGAAGTATATAAAAATTCCAGTAAGTTATTTTTCTTGTTAATTATTCTAATAGAGACTGGGATCCTAAAACCGGGTTTGAATGTCTTCGTGTTCAATGGATTTCCAAAGGACAAGCATGGCAGCGTTCAGGTCGTGCTGGACGTGAGGCAGCAGGTGTTTGTCTTCGATTATATACTGATTCAGAATATAAAAATATGCCACTTCAACCTAGACCGCAAATGTTGCAAGCTCCACTTAGTGGAGTTTTACTGAACCTTGTATCTATGAATATAAAGGTAAGTAAATGGTTTTAGATTACTCGTAATCTATGATTGTTAATGCATTTAATACATACGGTATTGTTTATAACGTTTTTACAACACATTTTGAGTCAGTGTATGGAATCTACTTGCTTACTTGTTCAAAATTGTTCTGATATCCTAAAAACGATATTTAAATCTTGGAAATTTCTAGTGAGTTGTTGGAGTTGTATTCTTACAAACTTTTCTTATAAAGTCACATTTTCTGTCATGTTTATTGTTGCTACTGTCATTTATGTGTACATCGTTTAGTTACTAAATAATTACTATGTCTTTCATATGGTTTTTATTACGATTTAACTGCTCCTAATAGTTTTCATTTCATTCCCTCTAGAGACCATGGGGATGTTAGAAGTTTTCGGTAACGTAGCTAACTGGCCACAGACAACTAATTGAGTTAACTGTAGCGAAAGAAGATGAATACCAGAAAGGTATTGCCGTGCCATGGATCTTTCACAAACTCTCTTGTTGACTGAGCTCCAAGAGCAGAAAAAGGTTATAAATACTCAAACAGTTCAATAATTGGAAAAAAGACGTTGAATGAGTCATCGAGGTGCTCTAAGAAGATGCACTACAATTAAAATTGCGTCATTTGTTATTTGGATACATCCGTTTAAAGGGTCCCCCTGAGTCATGTTGGTAGGTGTAGACTATCTGGTTGAGGACCGCGAGATGATAGCAACCGATGGTTAGAGACCCTGAATGACATGGCTTAAAATCGTTTGCAATGGCGCAGGTGCATCCACTCTCTATGTTCTCCCAAATTCTAATCTTCTGAATTCTTCATGTCCCCTTTTTCCTCTTTCCAAATTTATTTCACTGTATTATACTCTTTAAATAACATCTCCAAACCCTAATCTTCCCGATTACTGCTTATACTCTTATTACCTCTACCACTACGGGATTTGAATCGACAACTGCATCTCTGTGCTAATGTGGTGTGGCAACTCGAACTGATGTACGTACGTACGAAGTTCTACGTTGTTACTCACTGACTGTACCCCTGTACACCCTGATATACCCACTAATTCGCTATCCCACTTGTGTCTGGCGCTCATTTTGATTATGTCGAACACCCCCCCTTTCCGACTAAAAATGTAAGAATGTTATTTGTTAAGTCGTTAGATCAACTAAAGAAAGAACCCACCCACCTAAAATCATCTGTGCCTCCTATCACGTGGGGACCGTCAAAGTGTTATTAAGCTGGTATGATACCATTGGGACTAAATCGTACGAAATTTTTAGCATCATAGAGCGGCACCTTTTTGGCGTCACACATAAAATTAACAAGATGCTCACCATTTACTGTCATATATAAAGCACCAAAGAAACTTTCAAAGTATTTACATCTTCGTTTGTTAAATATATGGTCGATTTGGTTATTTTGATCGAAATTTTCCTAACTAATTTGTACATAGAAAATTAGTCCATAGATTTTAACACTTCGTTTTCCTATATAACCATCAATTAGTATTGAATCACATTAAAAATCATTCTGTAATCTGAGTATATTGATTACATGTAAATATTATTCTTCATGTATACCTTTATTATTTTCATTCTTATTGATAATATCAACAATCACAATTCTCAATTCATCAGCATATTTCATATGATTTGCATTGTATACTGATGATTATTTCATCTCACCTGTATTTTGTACACACAAAAGCGTACATCCAAAATCTTAACAAGATATTACCCTTTTAGTTCCATGTCCCTGAACCACACTTCACATACTTGGAACAATTATATTTCCCACAGCTTACATCATAAACTGATATTAGTTAAACAAACACTGAAAACCAGATGGCACTGGACAACTATTTTATCTTTGTATGGGGCTTCTTATTAGTACACATTCACAACCCCATAGGGGATCAAAGACAGGATCTTAGTTTTCTCCGCGACCTCCTAACCTTTAGACTACTATGTACTTAATAGTGTCCATATCTAGCTACAATGAATGCACGATATTAAGTGACCGTCTCCTACTATATGCAGTGAATAACTGTCTCACTTCCGACATGGTGGGACTCCACTAACTAAGGTTTCCCCCTAGAATCGCACCTCGAAGTTAGTCATTAATTACATTTTTTAACTGTGACTGTGAACAGGCTATTGAGAAGTAATCATGGAATACATACATGGCAGTCGCATTAACTTAGGCCCACTAAGAACATATTCAAGGTTTTACGTTTACCTTCTCCAAAAGTACCAGTGCATATATAAAATATTCATTTGTTAACCTGTATCTATTCTACGCTTATTAATACTACTTTCATACTTTTTATTCTCATGGAATTGTATAAATGGCTCTTTGCACTGTTTAGTATTGACAAGATTTCCGTTATTATCAAGTAATCGTCTAGTTACACCTCATGCTTGATGGTTGCACATTTACTTAGATTTTCTAAAATCAAATTGTTTTAATCCGTTTGTACATATAAAAATAGATATGTGACCTAAAAACATTTCCAAAGACTTTCTCGGTTTCGGCACATATTTTGGGTAATGTTAACTTTTACCTTGTTTCAAATTAATTCTTTCCCTCTACACACACTTATACTTAAGGTTTTATTTTTCCTAAGGTATGCGTATCTTTATTTATTCTGATATATAAAACCTAGGCCTTGCATTGTGCCCATCGATTTTCCTATTTGATAACATAAGAAATACATGTACGTTTCGTATCTTTCCCAACCACTTATGTACGTTTTAATGCCACTTGATAGAAAAATAAACAGCATAAAATCTAGTCATAGTACTTACTAGTGTAAAATACTTTTTCTCATTTCATAAGTAATAGTATTGTAGGTAAGAAGAATAAAGCTGTGGCCTAATGGTTAAGACGCTCAAATTTCATCTACTAAGCTTGAGGTTCGAATCCGTTTCTCTTGCTTCATGTTTGGTTTTTGGGTAGTATTGTGATGTGTGCTACTGATGTCGACAGATATAAGTAGTATATACCACCAATCGAAAGTGGAATGCATGGCATCTGGAGTTTGAGAAAATCGAGGAGAAGAGAACGAGAACAGAGAGCGATTGGTATGGAAACGAAGGAACAACAAAGTCTGGGACAATTGATGAATATTTTGCAGATGAAGTATTTACTTTATGGTTCTCAGATTTTGCATTCATATACTTTTGGTTATCCACGCCTGTGTTCTCGTTAACTACAGCATCATTTACCCTCACACTTAGACTGCAGCTCATACTTAAGTACTTGGTGAGTGAGTTGATTTGATTTAATCTCAAAAAGTAAAAACACGCAGTCGGATGTATATGCCCTGGTACGGTCGAGGGTGGGCAGAGTCAACTCTCACTCTTCGAATGCTCTCACATGGCCACATGCATACAATCACTGACAGAGAAGTTCTATTCACTACCTTCTCGCGGCGAGGATGTTGTTTACGAAATTAAGAGGACGAAAAGCGAATGTCCAGTGCTTTAACCGGGTTGGCGGACACGGAGAGTCCACCTAGGGGAGTTTAAGAACCCTGATTCCAAATCAATGGTACACATGGACTCCAGGATCCTAAGGAACTAAACGGCGTATGAACCAATCATTGGTCACCGACTACTGTGAGACGGCATCTCCTGACGTTGCTCCACCGCCTTGTGGATCAGACCTTTAGGTCAAAGACTCCGAGTGTTGTCCCTTACGAAAATCACCTGTTCCGGTTTGGTTATCCGGTCAGTATCGAATGATTTATGTGTCGCATATCTGTTTGGTGCCTCATTGTACCAATGTTTGTGTATTTAAATAAATAAATGAATGGAAATGCAGTCAAAAATGGAATAAAGAAATGAAGTTGTACCGCTTTCTCATAGATCCTTAATTAGTAATTTATACCCCAAGCGGTAATAGATTTGAGTAATTTTGTACAGCCCATCTTTCTGTTTTTAACGATGCTTCACCTTTAAAGATGCTGACTGTTTATAGGAATTATTTAACTTTTGTTAACCAATACTGTAGTTAACAATAAAACGTCGATTTTCTGATTTCAATTTTTTAAGTTTATTATTTTATAACCAACTGTATTGACATGATAAATATCCTGGCAACAAATATGTCGACTTAATCAAATCCAATCAATTCATCACAATCAGCAAGTTTAATCACCACCAGCTACAACCGAGAGATACTATCAGTTTGTTAACACCTTACCTACCTGGTAAATAGCAGGAGTTATTTTCGTCTTTCTACGAGCAATTTAGTAAAATTCTTTGTCATTCATTCTGAAAAGAACGAATCGAGCAAAGAAATTTTTCCTCATAGCTCTACACACATATATATGATGTACAGCAATGAAATAACTCTCCTCTAGTAGTTGAGTTTCGTAATGAATATTTAACCAATGTGACATTATATCATTACACAAGGCAACAACTCGATGAGTGTTATTCCACTATTGTAAATCCTACATATATATAAAATAGTGTAATGCCATGATGAAAGCTAATTGAAAAGAAGTTTCTTCGTTCTGTTCGTTCTTCCTGCCAAATGTCAAAATGAGAATTTTCACTACACTTTTATTACTATTATTTCAATGTTAGATTTCGTTGATGCTTGATTCATATCTATTAAGATGATCGTTGTTTTTCCACTTAGAATCCTACCCAATTTCCATGGTTATCTTCGCCTAAACCATCGTCTATTGAAGCTGGGGTCAAACTACTTCTTCAGTTAGGTGCTGTTGTAGTGAATGATGATGAAGTAGAACCGTTATCTTCCGAATGCGTTCAAGGGGCAACTAGCATGGATTCAAATAGATTAAATGATTCTGTAAAAATTCCCTACCCACTCTCTGTAAGTTATTTATTATTGGTTATCATTGGTTACTCATACATTTAATAAGTGTTTAGCCATCGCCTACTCAGACGTCCATTGTCAGTCGAAGCCTCGAAAAAGTAAAGGGGAGGTCAATGTAAAATCATCAAGTTGCTAACTGTTGACCTGAACCACGTTATTATATACGGGCTTTCAAGTTGATACGGAAGAATAATTGGTCATAGAGGTGTAATTGCATCTATTCTTTATTTTGCTCTAAAGTTTGAGTTTAATGTCATCTCATGCTTTCTTGTGTTTGATTTCATTTATTTCGTTTAAATTATGTTTCGCATATTTAGCTTCTCGGTGAATTTGGATATTATATTCTCTTAATTGCAACCTACTTTTTTATTTCTTTTGTCTTTGTACTTACGCGGAAGATACGGTGTTCGAGTCTCAATGTAAATATCAACACACTTATCTGATGAGTTCCAAACAGATCGAACTGCCCATCCTGGGTTCCACTGCTGGTCACTACCTGACTTAGATAAAACTCATGACTATATGGAAATATCGAGTAAATCAGGATGGACATGTGCCACTAGTTACTGATCAATTGTGCAGACCTTAACATCAACAACAAGGGGGGAAAAATACAAATACTTAGGAATTAAACAGTATTCTTTTTAATAAATTCTCACATCAAGTTTCACAGTTATAAGTTAAAACTAATGATCAGAAAAATTGGCCAAATTTATGGCCATTAGTATTTTTTCAACTTTAGATTATTACCATATGCTTGTAAATTGTTATTGATTTCCATTGTTTTTAAATTTATTTAAGCTAACAGTTCTTGGACGACTTATGTCAGCTTTCCCATTGGAGCCAAGATTTTCCAGAACATTGATTTCTGCTGCTTATTTAGGTTGTCTAATCGAAATACTAAGTATTATAAGTATGCTTTATGTTTGTCCTGTGTTTTATGTGCCAGTTGAGAAACGCAATGAATTTTCAGATGTAAGTTTGGTAAAGTTTTTTCTCCTTTTTTTTAAAAATATGACTCTACGTTAGTCTGTCTTTTGAATACATCACAGTTGAAACTGTATTGCTGTTATGCTCTATGGTCGCCTGCGTCTGCTTCTGATATAAGCTTTTCCTTTACATTTGCGCAAACCAACCAATTGATCGAGTAAACCAAAAATCAGTAGTTTGCTTTGACTAACTAGCGCAACCAACACACATCATTCATATATATATACTACTGTTCTTGGTATATAGGACCTTTTCGGAGTGTTATTTTTCGATTCACACAATACTCAATCATTTCTACTCGATATATTCAACAAAATGAAGGTGCCTAAAAGTGCATCTTTGTTGGTTAAATTGTCAGCTAAAATGAATGGGGTTCAGTTTAAAGTCACTGTTTATTGAAATTGATTCAGCTCTTATTCATTCACAACCATCACCCAATACTATCACAGTGATATCTAATTGTGTAACTCTCGACACTATTAATTTCCTGACCATGGTCCCTTGTTAAAACCACGAAACTAATGACAGACAGTCTTCATATACACAAAGACTGTTAGCACAAATTGCCATTAGCACATCGAGATATATATGATTAAAAATGTATTTCAAAAGATCGAAATTAATCATGCTTTGAGTACATGATTATTACTATTACGATTGAGAAATGTGGATTTTTTTTTACCATCAACTTCCTTCTCAGTGTCAAGCTGTTTGGTCAACTATTGTACCCTGAAAAGAATTGTTTCTTAATGAGAATTTTCAGCACAAACGTTATAATCCTTATATTCTCATATTTGATGACAAGTGTAGCTTCCTCTTGTGCCGAAACTGCCATTCACTCTTTTAGAAAACCGTAACATTACTATTATAAATGAACTAATAACTTTGCTTGCAAACGATATGATTACATGCTAGTATAGTAGATTAGAATAATAATTAATCGAGTGTGAACCGATCGCCTAGTGACTAAAACATTCAAGTTCCAAACAAGCAAGTCAATGGTTTCAAACCCCTTACTCCATCTATTTCGGTTTCGGCAGCCTAATAGTAGTATCACTAGTTCTTACACGAACACTGGATACAAAGTATACAGATCTGTACATGTTAAGTAAACCGAGACACAATTTCAGTGTACAATAAACACTTATAAGATGAAAGTTAACCATCTTGTTTTGTTTTGATCGTCACATATTCTTTCTATTTTCATATCGTAAATTCGTGACACGATTGGCAATACAATTGTGTTAAGTATTTTGGATTAAATATTTTTGTCCTTCTCATTATATGTTACGTTTTTATCCTTTTTAAATCTTAGCTAATGTATGTAACATGGTCTACTTGTATGTAGGTTCAGTCTCGGTTTCGTCATCCATCTGGTGACCTCGTCAGCCTTCTTTTAGTTTATCGTGGATTTATTAAAGCTACTAAAGATGCTCGTTCAGAGAAATCAGTCAATTCGAAAAATTCTCAATCAAATATAGATTCTTCTACACAGTCTCCGTCAAAATGTAAATTGTCCAAGCGTAATTCAAAGCTTCAATGGTGTCGTGCTAATTTTATAAACAGATCTCGTCTAGAAACAGCTGTACGTGTACGTGGTCAATTAAAACAGATTACCCAAAGTACAGGATTGACTAATTATATGCATTCATGTGGAACAAATGTAGAAAAAATTGTGCAAGCCTTTCTTTTGTCAGGTTTTCAAGACCAGGTAAATATTGTTAACATTGCTTATTAGCGAATATTTAAATAAGTTTTCAATTTATATATGTATGGGATGAAAAACGAAACAGTCTTCCGCTAATATAATTGACTCTGCTCGACAATAATTAAAAAAGTCAATGGGCTGGACATAAGACGAAGTTCTAAATATAATGTAGAGAAATGAAAATAAAATTTAGGCGAGACTATAATTTATGGACAAAAACCGCTCAGATTCATGATATCAGGTCTTAGATTTCGGCGTGAAATTCACTCATCCGTTTGGTCAGAGAGCGTCTTAGCACTTTAGCTGACGTTAGTTTGTAATGGAAACCCTAACTATTAACTGTAAATCATAATGCTTATGCTTCACACGAATTTATAACTCTCATTTAGCTCTAGTAAGTAGGTGGATATTCTCAAGGCCACTTTAGCGTCTCTCAAAGGCCATCCATAAATTATAATCTCACCAAAATTTCTTATATAAAAGTTTGTATATCACTTGAAATTGTTTATCTAGGTTGGATTGTTATAAAACAATTAGTCAGTATATTCAAACTATTCCCAACATAGACATGCCAACCCATTGACTCATTAAAAGTTGAGTTTTTTATTATTAATGATTATTGTGGGACCAATATATGTTCCCCGGTTACTTAGACACTCAATTCACTGCTTCAAGTTTACTACACCTAGGCGAACTGGGGTCACTTTTAATGATTATTAGTATCTAGCTAATTGAATTTGGTAATAAGTTCAATCGGATATTAACTCCATGGTTCTTATGGTTAAGCGTTCGTCCCAAAACTAGTCAGTTCTGGGTTAGTTGTTTGATGGTATAGTGGATGTGTGTACTGTTGGGGAGTCCAATGCTAGGACAAAACAGCTATCCAACGCTCCGTGGTTTTTGATAATGGTTTAACTACGATAGGGTTGTAATCTAAGCTATGGAAATTCAACAGTCTTCACAAAACTCCTTTTAGCTTAACTGTTGTACATTTTAACGGAATTGTGTGGCAATATCAAACAAAATTACCTCTTTCGCCTTGTGTCAGGGATATTTATTCCCGTCAAATATAATTGATTACGAATAGATCATTTATAATATTATATGGTGATTTAATGTGATTATTATTTGTTTGACTTGAATTTTATTTCATTTATCATTCGTGTAGGTTGTAATTCTTTCTGAATTGTCAAAAATGTACAAAGGTGATACTCAACGATTGATTAAAAACTCTCGGCATCCCGTATATGTACAAAGTAAAACCATCAATTTGTCAACAAATTCACCTCAGGAATTGTTGATTCATCCAGAATCGCAATTATACACATCTTCATTAAATAATCCACCTCCATGTTTACTTTTCATTGAAGCTGTGACAAGTAGTGAATACAAATTTCAATGTAACAATGCAATTGAACAAAATGATCGTGTATTTATGCGACATGTCTCGATAATTGATCAGTCATGGTTATCACTTACAGAAAATATACCGAAATCAATATTGATCAATTGTCCGTCAAATCAAACAAATAGAAATTTCCCATTAAAAATGAAAATAACTTCATCTGACTTTGAACAGCCGCCTTCTAACAAAAAGCGTCGAACTATTCATAATAATAACGATAATAATAATAATAATGTTAATGACAATAATACTAATAATGAATTAACACCGTTACAACCGACCTTAAAGTATATAGCTCCCAATAATAGTAACGATAACAGTAGTAGTACAAATATTCATATGAACAATACTTCGTCAACAAATTGTAATGGAATAATAAGATCTGAGCATATCAATCGGCTATCTGAAAATATGCACGCACAATTAAGTCGTAGTCAAAAACGGCGCCTTGCCAAACGTCGAAAACGATGTTTAACTCTCCCACTTGTAAATAATGATGATAATAATACAAATTAAAGTTGGTTGCATATGTATTTTTATGTATATGTGATTGTTCAATATTCTTTCATTTTCTTCTCTCCTTTCAGATTCTTTTGTATATTTACCTAGGGTGTTTTTTTATTTACTTTTTCTCTTTACATATTTATGCATTCAAGATTATCTACCGAAAATTCAATAAACAACAATGATTTTGCTTAACACATTCATAGATTAGAACAATATTATTGAGTCATTCTGCACATATTATGCACCGAGTTCGTTTATATTTTCTTGTCACAGGTTTTTTTTACAATAACTAAATCAGATTTTTCCACCAGTAATTTGTTCTTTTATGTATTTTCGATATTTATTTGTTTAAGCACATAAACATTGGTACAATGAGGTACCAAACAGATATGCGACACATAAATCATTCAATATATGTTAAGGCTGAGAAACCGATCGGGTGCCCAAACCGGAGCAGTTAGTTTTCTTAGGGGACCACAGCCGGAGTCTTTGACCTAAAGGGTCTGATCCACAAGGCAGTGAAGCAACGTCAGGAGATGTAGTCTCACAGTAGTCGGTGACCAACCATTGGTCCATACACCATTTGTTCCTTCAGGATACTGGAGCTCATGTACACGATTGGTTTGGAATCAGAGTTCTTCAACTCCCCTAAGTGGACTCTCCGTGTCCGCCAACCCGGTTAAAGCGCCGGAAATTTGCTTTTCATCCTCTCAATTCCGTAAACAACATCCTCGTTGCGAGAAGACAGTGAGTAGAACTTCCCTGTTAGTGGTTATATGCATGTGGCCATATGAGAGCATTTCGAGAGGGAGAGCTGACTCTCCCTACTCTCGGCTGTACCAGGGCATTTAGTACTCGATAATGTAATACGATATGGTAAGATTGATTTGATAGAAATATGATGTAGTGTTTACAGAGACATTTTAAACAACAATCAAATCAACAGAATTCACTGAAGGAAATTTTCTTTTCGACAATTTCTTTGCTGAATAATTATCGTAATTCTTTTTGCAATAATACCATAGGTTACTTTCGTTAACAGTCGTTAACAGTGGAAATCGAACAACATATATAAGCGAACAAGATTGTTTTCAGTTAGTTCCTCATTAAGTTTTACTTTATTATACAGTAATATTTATATGCACAAACGAAATTATCATACTAATCAAGGCATTTTACGAGTGGAATAGATTATATAAATAAGCATAATAGGTAAAAGTACAAATTCATGTGATGACATGTGTACTAGTTGTGATAAGAATAATATAGGCTTGTATCGATGTTTCATAATGGAAAATAGGTCAAATATAGATAATGAAATAACATTCATAAAAACTAAGTCTACGTAATAAGAAGTGTTCGGATAACTGGATAATGAAGTGTATATTCGGAAAAGTTAGGAGGAGGTGAAAAAAATAAACGAAAAAGAGTATAGATTATCGGTTTCTGTGACAACGTAAGAAACGACAGAGCTCGTGCTTTGTACGCTACTACCGTCCATAATTGTGAGAAAGTGTGCTCTGTCGTCATTTTATATCAATTTTAAGAAATAAACGACCAATTATAACGAATTTAAAACTAGCTTATTTGATTGGACGGAAGAGAATGAAAATTACTGATAAATGGGGATCAAAAAGTGGCCGTGTATTTAATGTTAACCAAAGACTTGGATTGTTAACTCGAATTCCTATAGCTTCTGCTATATGTAAGACACGAGATCGAACCTCATAAGGAAAACTAGTAGGAATACAATAAATCACTTTAAATGACCTATTTCTGTCTACTACATCACCGCTATCGATCATGTGTGGTAGAACAGAGCTGCGTATTGTTTTGACGGTACCGTTTCCTAACCACGAAGAGAATGTGTTCACTAACTCGGCTCAGTTGTCTAGTAGTGCGCACAAGAGCAGCTGTTCTAAATCACAATATGGGAATTTTTCAAACTTGTGGAAGTATAAATAAACAATCTTCAGATTATTTTATAAGAAGCTTTTTGAATCCATGCTGAAATTTCGTCAGACACCAACCCACTACGGCTGATCAGACTCCCAAGATAAGTGAAGTTGTCAACGCGTTCGACCACTTCACTCCCTATCCTTAGTTCAGGTATTGACGCAAGCCAGTCCTGAAGCAACAACTTGCATTTAGAGAGGGAGAAGCGCATTCCAAAAATTCTGGCATTGTTGCTTAGTGCTACCAATAGATTCTGCATTTTATCAGCGTCTTCACCAAACAGGACTATATCCTCATCGTATTCTAAGTCGATAGGTGGACCTCCTGGTAAGAGATCAATGCCCGAAAATTCAGTGGACGAGAGCGTTATTTCTAACTGTGGGTCTATGATGAATTTAAACAAAAATGGGAAAAGTGGACAGCCTTGACGGACGCCACTTGAGTTGCAAAATTTAAAACCTTTATTGTATCTAAAGTGTTAATTACGAAAATTTACTTTTGTTTCAGATAGTTATTATTAAGGAGTTTATTCGATCCTCTGACGTCAGTTCCAGAAAAGTCTTGGGCATTCGAATGTTTTATGGAAAGGACCCAAAATAAACCTGAATGTTCCATACATAATATTCGGAGGACACAATACCGCCTTAACAATAACTATTCATTTCATGACAACACAACTTACCGGAAGGAAGAATTTCAACGGAATCTGTATAGGGATTGTCATCCGACTATGTAGTCATATATATAAATCCTGAAAGGCAATACAGAATCGGTACCAGGATTCTGAAAAAGCTACCGAGTTATCATCAAAATCTGAGTATGAACTGTGGGATACAGGTACATTCAGCTGATGAGTCCCAAATGAGACGAAATACACATCATGGATCCCAGTGTTGGCTACATGCCATGTAGTCTATATCAACATGTTCCGTAACAGCTGTATCGACGCAATCCGCACATATGCTAACCAAGACTGATTAAATTCAAATCGAAAAATACCGATGACGAGACAATCCAAAACACTACGAATTGAATTCAAACTACTGAGTAGTAAGTAGTATGGCGTAAACAGAGAGGAACCAAAGATGGAATAGCTTTTTTAGAGATTAAACCAACTGAATAATGCACAAACTTCTCGATGTGAAAAACCCGAAAATTTCCATTTCGTTTATCTTGTTCAAAGATTGACCAACTGAAAATTTCTAGTTCTTAAACAAATTTCATAATAAGACTTAGTTATTAAAAACTAATCATGTGTTAACGAAGTGATTACTCTTTTCAAAGGATAAACTGAATTTCATCAAACAGACGGATTCTCATCTATGAAATAGATCTTACAAGTTTGAGAATTATATTGCTTATAGTTTCGAGGACTACCGTGTTGAGATCAGTGCGATAGCTGGAAACATTGGGTAACATGATTCAGATCCATTCACTGTGAAAATCAGTCTCAGTATTCGTGTATAAACATCTTCATGAACGATATTCAAAATGTTTAACCTATCTCACTATCAGTGCTATTATATCTATTTTGTTATGCCGATTTCATATGTAGCAACATGAGTGCTAATAAATATTTATCCCAGGTTGTGCTGAGTGACAATAAACGTGAATTCAACTTGTGATAATTGCATTTGAGAAAGCCAATGTTTTGTATATTATTGCCGTTTTTCCATATAGTTATTATCATACATAACACTTTCGGTAATGTTGCGTCCTCTGACTCCAATGGTTTCACCGCTGAAACCTAGCTAACACTAAGTGACTTGTTAGAACTTCCCCATAATCGATTGCTATCTATTGTGCATGTTAAGTTTGTCATACATTGTTCCACTCGCTCCCTTTCCATTCTTTTGTATATTGTTTTGTACTACTTATTTATATTCAGTAAGCAGTTGTATTCCTAAAAATGTTTACAGCTATGTTGTAACGCAAGTTGTAGTGTGACATTCTAAAATATTCATATATATTTATTACGTTTATTGTACTTATCATTTTAATTACTGTATCTTAATCACTGCAGCGGTTATCCGCAGTTTCGTGCATTTGTTTAAACGCAACAGTTACCATATTGTTTTACTCTTAGTTAGGGTTTCGGTTGTTCATAAACTGTTGTCAGATATAGACACAGCTATCAGCTGTCGGTTGTACTATCGTATGTTATAATTATTTTTTATGTTACTGTTACAGGAAGCTTTTTATTTTCATACTTGAAGGACGCGTTTAAACGCTCTAGACACCTCACAAATTGAGGTTTGTAACTAAATTTAGTGTATTGTTCAATAAAGAATCGCTACTGTAGACAAATCGTTGTTTTGGAACTTCGGTTTCGCGCGTATCTCAATCGGGTGACCTAGACGCTTCGATAGATGTAACAGTCAATATGGCATGTGACTCATTGTCATCAGTATTTGTGCATATTAATGATTTTTCTTATTGTTCAGTTTGTTAAATGGAGCCAGAATACTCTTGAGAGTTTTCGAAAGTGTCCTCAGTGTTATAGACGAGTTTCGGACACAATAACTTAGTTTTATAGACAGCAGAAGTACAAATTATTGATTACTGGAGTGACCGATGCCATGACTGTTTAGTGCGACAAAGTATGTGGAAATCATTTTCACTAATAACTTTTTAATATACCAGTCATTTAGTTGAGCCTCATAATACTACTCGTATTTATTATAAGAAAATGAAACTATTACAATCTTATCACAGTATAACGTTAAATTGGATTTAGTAGTAATCGAAATATCGTTTGGTAGTTAATCATTCATCATTTTTAATGGTACCCAATTACTCGTATATGGCCATTTTGAATAAAACGAAAAATCCAAATCGTGTTTGGAACCTTAGTCTATGCACGACGTAACATCTATGCATTTATTTATGTATGAAGAATGTTCTCAACTAAATAATATTTAAAATTACTAGATTGGCTTTCTCTTACGAAAGCTAACAGTGATTTGGTGACCTTTAAAATTTGAAGTAAAATCTGGTTTTAAGAGCTGTCACAAGTTTGAGAGTGGATTTCACTTCTAATTTCCTCACACTTCTTGTTAAGGTACATCAAAATGATGTTGAGTTAGGATCAGTCTTGACGACCTGAGAACGTGACCGCAGTACCCAAGAAACAAATAATTGGGATCAGCCAAAAACGACCCTTTGGTGAGTAGTTTTTGATATGCTAGGTCTGTACATTTAAGACCTTACTGTCAATGACGGAAATCTGTGGGGTAAGATGAGGTGTTGTCGTTTGAAACGACCTTCTTCACCACCCCCTTCTTCCATTGTGGGAGGGATCTACGATGGTTATGAAGTAAACTCCAAGTTACATCCTTCGAAATTCTGAAGAACAA